GCCTTGAATGTCCCGCGACACAAAAAACGTTTACGAGAATAAAATATGAAGGTATTTCAGTTAAAGATAAATTCAAGATTACGCATAGTCATGCAGTTGGAGACTGGTGAACCCTTACGGTCGCGTACTCGACAATTTACTTCAAGCTTTCGGCTCCATAAGCATTATTTACCTGTCCGATAAACGCTCACAGAATTTACCTTGTCGACTGTCCGTCAAGCCTTCCCATGCTGGATTCCATTCTTCAAACTGGAACATTTTTCAGAAATCTGAGACATTACATACTTTAGGAACAGGATTACAGTTAAGCGTGCCACGGAAGACTTTAAATAATCATCTTTGAGGGTCCGCATCACTTGTGCTTCCGCCAAGGAAGAATTGTTGCAATGGCGTTACGAGTCGGTAGTTTTAGGTGGCACCTGGATCTAAGTTGCCGCAGCACCCTTCGCTAATTTCAGACCTTGAGAGTACCTCGTAAAATTTGGCATAGCCCCTACGAGAGGAATCTACTCGTACGCAGTTTCCCCAGAGTATTACTGGTTACCAACTTAGTAGTTAACTTACGTAAATCGGAATATCCGACGCAGACGCAGTAGATTTAGTGTCGGAAATCTGAATTCGTAAGTGTGAGATACCACTTGTTGTGAGAGGCTTAAATAACAGAAGATCTTCCGGAAGACCGCGGTGTTCCGGATTAGATTCTGCATATACATGTTTGATTCGTGGATTCCCTTCGTCGTCCAGAGGAATGGGATCAAGTTCTCCAGTCGGCATTTTTATTGCCATTACAGCGTCCAGTTTGTAGCGTCCAGGATTAGCCTAAACAAGGAGAAACAGTAAAAAGGAGTAAAGTGTAAGTTATTTAATACAACCACACGTTTAATCCCTAGATAACTTTGTATAGTATTTGTGTCTTTGAAGTTTATGCAGTAACATGGAGTTTTGTCAGGGTCATAATGACCATTGGACACGTGAAAAAGTTCTGCGCAAATTCGAATCACTTTATACCTTCTAAAAAAACGAAAATACCCTATTTTTGCTTACCAAAGTTATATTTTCAAAGAAATGTCTCTCAGACGCACGGCAGGAGTCGGTTGCACCAGCGCAGTAACAGGCTAGGCACTTGTTTCCAAATTTCATCCAGCCTGTCGCACATGTACTGCAGTCTTCACCAGCATATCCTTCCTGAAAACAAAGAATATACATGTTACCACATAGGACAGGAATATGAACGCCAGGCTCTATCTGGGGTAAGAAATGAGAAACTTACGTAATTACCTACCGACCGGTAGCATGCGCCTCCCTCCCTACTTATTTCGTATTTCCTAGTGTCATTCACGCTACTTGTTTCGGTGAAATATAAATGTACCCATCTCCCAGGACTTAAGCGCTATTAAATGCTTACTTTTTCTGCTTAGGTGTGTCCCTTTGGCGGTTTACATGGTTGTCGGCTTGTTCTTCCACTCAGTTTAAAAGGAATATACTACAAATGTAAGTGTTCCACCCTTACGCTATTATGACAAAAAGGTTCGTTCAACTTTATCACTTAATAACCTTAACACCTCTGCAATTCAGATGTATAAGTATAGCCGTTGGATGGCTGGATTGGCTGGCATATTTGAATACCTACACCTTTTTCTTCGCCATGTGAAACATAAGTTAAAAGGATTTTCAGCCCAATACTTGCGCTCAGCTCGCTTATACCGCCTTCATCGATGGTGATCTCTGGCTAGAACTATGACTTTGGCCATTTAGTTTCATTAAAAGGTCCCAGACATAAAACTCATTTTATCCGCGGTCCTTTATTGGAGGGGGGCTTGCGACATAGTCCTGTGGGAAGGGGTTCATGCATTCACATATGATCCACAGGTCTATCAACATTTCAGAACGGAAATATAGTGAGGCAAACATGAGTGCGGTCGTCATATAATGTCTATTAACTATTGAGTAACAGTCGGTGATTTGCCTCCATATCGTTATTACTTCATTAACGTTGACCTATGTTAAATCCCCTTACCAAATGCTCATTCGTCACCAAGTCTCTCGTGGGTGTTACCATTACGTTTAGCACTTGGTTTAGAGTTAGAGGCTAGGGTTAAGGCCGGGGTGACGAGGAGGATAAGAGGCTAGGGTCCAGCTTTAGATACGGGTAAAAGTTTACGGGTTGAACTATCAAGGTTGTCAACTTCAATTATATTTCCTGTAGCGGCGATCACGTGAATCGAATAAGAGGGAATGTTGTTCTTACGGTCTCCTCCAATTTGTAGGATAAAATACCAAACCAATGTCCTCAGTTTTTATCTTGTTCCGCCCGTTTACAGCACCCATCTTCCAGTATTTCAAATATCGTGCTTGCCTTTTTTTTCATGTTTCATAAGTGCAACTGACCGGCTTGGACGGTGACATGAGACTGGCGGCGGGGGTGCGCGAGTGAAATCAATGACTCAGTGTATTTTCCTCACTAATTACAATCTGATGCGCCTGAAGTTATTATGAGGCGCTAAAATACGTGGCTTGGAAAGCTGCCAACTGACGGGAAGCTTGGACCGCGCGTTCAGCCCATTGTGTGTGTTGTGTGGAGCAGCTGACTGGTGGACTGAAAGTCAGGCTGTAATGCCCCTTAGTTAATCTGGCCTTTATGGCACTCTCACGCACTCTGAACCGGGTATGGCGGCATGCGCGGGGTAGGCTCCGGTCGTGCCAGCCAACTGCGCCCAATTCTGCCTCTGGTCATCTTGGCTCATTCCTGACAGCGGGTAAAGGGGTTCAGATAAGAGAGAGAGAGAGCGATAGATGCTGCGAAAGACTAGTATCACTTACAACCCTTTCATGCGCAAATCACCGTCCCTGCACCACCCTGTTGTTGAGCACACGGTGGACAACATCGAAATCGATGGGTAAACTGTCATTGCATTTAGACAAAATAATGGCGTCAACGTATTTTTTTGTCCTTTGCTCCCCGAAGGCAGCCACATATCAGATTCCCTTAGGCTACTAATAATACTCTGATTGCCTCAACTCCGAAACTACACAAGTTGTTGGCTACCCATTTGTGGGTGGGATCAGATACATGATCCTTGCAAAGCATGTGGCAACTTGCTAACTTATCCTTGAGATTTTTTTTATTGAAATGAGAGTGCCGTTTAAGCTTAATATTCAAAAAGACAATTGCGAGTGCTGGTGCGGCTTTTAGATTGATGTCAAGGTGTCAATTACTCACTAAGCATACTTCACTGAACCTAGCCAACGTAGAATCTAAAAATATCGGACCGAACCTAAAACATACTAGGACGTGTTTACTCTTCTAGCGTTCATCCGCGGAGTGCGTTTTTTAATAAATCATAGAAGGGAGTTTGCAAGTTTGATAGAGAATAACCTCGTTGTTGTCGCCCTCTCTGAATACCGTTATTTTGCTCAAAGCGTCCACTCACCCTACATGCACATGCTCCGTCCTCACCGACACTTTCCGTTCCTTCGGCGAGACACTTGTGCTTGGGCGGCCGGTCCGCACAGTTTGCCTCCTCGGGAGGTTCCTCGAGCTCGCACAAGTCACACTCATTTTCCACCAGCTGCCCATTCTCGCGAGCCTCACATCGACAGCGATAACCATCAGGCAACGTTGCATCCGCAAAACATTCCTTGCTCACGCTATGGCAGAGGATAAGGACAGCGGGGTTAAACTTGTTAACTCGGAGGAGGAGCAAGACAGCAATATCTATCTTGGAGTCAAATACGTTCATTGGGGGAACAAAGTAACTTTATTGGGTAAATTTCCGACTCGGGTTCCAGAAGTCATCGTCAGAGGTGAGTAAATGTACAAGGAAGAATTATAATGTGAAGAGCGCTAAAAAATCAATATTCATCTGGTGTGGGTGCTAATTAGCGGCCGCAGATTGCGTCAGTCTATATCGATTGCATCTTGTGTCTTCCATCTTTCTTTAAGACTTTTGTACACGGCATGCCGGTTTATGCGTGAGTCAGCGGAGTACACGGCCTCAAGAAATTGTCGGCCTTTCTTGGAGAGGCAACGTCCGACGATGTTAATTTTGTTCCATGCCTGGGTGTTTACTGAACGATGCTGTGCATGTTCATTTGGGACACATGGTCAGACCTCTTCAATACTAATTTATATCCGTAGATGCATGTTGAGGTGCGCTTTCCTGTTTGACCACAATATAAGTTATCAGAAGCTTCGTATGAGACCTTGTAGTCGATTTTTTGTCTTGTGGAGATACCGCATTCCATACTTAGCGTGAAAGACCTGGGTGCGTAAGGCAGTCGTCGATTTGTTTGCCACTTTTGTTTCGTATTTTCACAAGTGCCCTTCAACGAGTTCAGACAAATTCATTATATAACAAAGGACTCGCCTTGTATTTATTTCGAGCGCCTGACTGGAATCATCACGTCTGACGACGACCCGTGGGATCAGAGCCAAACTATACCCAATAAAGTTACCTTTTTCCAAAGGACCTGTATGATCTCAATATATATCTTGGGATACCTGCCGGTGGTTGACCCGCCCCCTAATGAGACGGGCATACGTCCTCATGACAACAACAGTCATCGTCATGCCTAATTAAACTATACCTATGAATACCGTGAAGACTCGTGCGTTTGATAATGGAAGCCTGTATGATTCCGAAAAGTTCGGACAATAAAACCATGGTTTCCGTGATCGCCTTACCTTCACAATCATGTCCAGGAACACGCATTTTCGCTTCTATCAATATATATGAAGTGAATTGCGGGTTATCCACACATGGGATTGGATATGACTGAATAATGATGGCTAATAAGCCAGAAATGGCCATTTCGGTCTCCATTGTCACTATGCGACTGCCTGTGAGCTCCAGGGAAAAAAGGGAGCATGCACTTTCCTTTACTAGATCGGTGAGCACCCTTCTATCATTTTTGACTGGGCCATGACAAGCTAAAGACGACAAAGGGGTCAGGAATAGCTGTCTTGGCTTTGCTGCTAAGAATAGAGGGATTGAGTAGTGTAGTAATGTCCTAACCAAACCCAACGCTTGTTCTTCAACCAACTCAATGCTAGATGTGCATGCCTCCATCAGGTAATTCTGCTTTCAAGGATTTTAGAACTCTACTAAATCCGCGGGACCTGAAACAGTAAGGTTTCCATTGGAAAACTAGTTATGTTTTAGGGCCGGGGTCTTTGGCAGACCACTTAAAATGGCCTTTAGAAATCCTGGCTTACTGGGCGTATCCATTGCCACATTTTCCACAAGGAAGGCAAGGTGATGTTTCCGGCTGGTCTGCTGCACGGTAGAATCCAGGTTTACAGCCTCTACAATCAGGTCCAGTATTGTTCGGTGGACAGGCAATGCAGTTGCCCTCTTCGTCACATTCCTCACAGTAGCAGGCCTTGCGGCACTTGAGGGGGTCCTTCGGATCGCGCTCCCACCCTTTGTCGCAAGTCTGCAAGGAGAAGAAAGTGAAAAAACATTGAGTACTGGTGGTGGGCAGATGATCTCCACACAGAAAGTTCAAGATAAACATTGCGTCACATTACCTCACAAGATAGACCCATGTAGCCCTCTGGACACTGGCAGGACTCAATTTCAGGATGAAGCATGCCTAGCGCATCCGAGGGTACAACATATTCGCGACGGATGTTTCCAATACTATAACTTTCTTGGTTTTTATAGTGCTTGACTCGAAATCGGATTTTTTCCAGATTGGACAGCACGGTCATCATCTGATCCCTGGTTGCTGCCTGATCGCTGCGGGTGCAGTTCGGGTCCAAAGACCAGCCGTCACGTTCCGTCAGCCGTACCTGTAGTTGGTTCAGATGACCCTGCTCGGAGGTGTAGAGAGCCAGGCGGTCTTTAAGTGGGCAGTAGTGAATCTTTTGCCCATTTCCCTACAAGGAGCATGTAATGTTCACTTGTCAATGTTTTAACCTATTTCAGTTCACTGCCTCTGCGTTCGTATAAAAAAGGAGGATACAGACACACAGCCTGCGAGCCTATACACATTCAGTCACAAAGTTTTCATGCAAAGTTAGAATTCTTCATACGTCTATTTATAGGAGCGCAAAGGAATTGTTCATTTCAAAAAATGGCTGTTTTCATGTTAGAGTACGTGGATTCTGGATAAGCTCAATTTATAGAAGTATTTATGAGCCCAGTGACTTTCATCGACAACTTACCTCCAGAGTTATGAGCGATAAAGGCGTGTAACCGTCTGTTGGTCCACGAAGTGTGATGTCGGCTTTCAGGTAGAGGCTGTAGGAGTTAACCTGGTGCAGTACAGAAAAAAACATTGCGTAGAAACGCAATCTTCTACAGAAACAGCAGGAAATTGTGTGGGACGTAAACCTTAAATATTCCGTATGTATATAACACGAGAGTTTTATCAAAAGATTTGCCGACTAAATGTTTCCTTATGTCATATAGAGGTTAGAGTTTATGCTGAATGGGTGCCAAACGAAGTTTTCCTTTTTGAGAATGGCCATAAGCGAACGAGCGTGAGTGTTTAGCCTATTAGGGAGAAAACATCAATTGAGCTGCAATGGCCTGCACAAAAAGTTTCTCAGTGAGATGCGATTTCTCACCGAAACCGTATTAGTTTAAAAATAGCCTCGCCATCTCTGTGTTAGGGGGTTTGCAATCCTCATGAGAAAAGCAGAGGGGGGATCGCTAGCGAAGGTGAACGCGCCTTTATGTTTTGGACGTCGCCGAACAAGTGTGACAAAATGTTTACTTAACGAAGACAGCGGAGGAATATTTGAGTCTCGAGCGCAGGCGTTTGTCTCTCTAAAACCAGTTTACCCCGCAGCTACCAGTAGAAAAATGCCACATTTTAACTGGATGCAGTAAATAGAGACAACGCAGGGGAAAAGTGAGCTTATTTTTCAAAATAAAAGCAGGCACAATGAAAAAAACGTCAGTTAGAATTTACCTTAGCTTGTCGATTACTCGTCATTTTATTTTGCAAACTGCAAACCGAGCCTAACTTAACCGGATCAGCATATGCAGCAACAAATGTTATTCTCTAGACTCAGTATTTATTATACGTCAAGTCTAGTAAAAGAGTCCTACGACTTTTGAGGCACGGCCTATGATCCTGAAGTATACTAACCAGGACCTTTTACTCCGATCTCAGCGGTTTATTCGCTCAAAGTCGTTACCACCAGACTTATTTATGTCATTTCTTGCCTGTGTTATTCATCCGCGCACTTTTTGCAATAGGAAAGTATTTTAGGAGGACTATTAAGAGTCAAGAGAAGAAACACTTTGACTTCATGCCTTTAACTTACCCAGGAACCTGAAAGGCCAAAAGTGCCTTCAAGGAAAACTGGCTGTTCGTACGTTGCCGGAACTGTGAATGTTGAGTCAGTCATTTGCAATCCACTGAGTTTCTCTGTGACAGGTTGATCTGCGTTGTCATATTCTACTAATTTAACATCATCGATGGACGGCTTTGCGTACTGGTCGATCTGAATGAAAAAAAGGAAATGTTGCCAGTCAGTAAAAATACATTTAGAGTTCTGAATCGCCAGGGTCATCGAGTTGGTTGTCTCCATTAAGTGATATCTGTTAAGCGATATTTCCCGTATTACTAGCTTCCTCGAGAACGCTAGCACGTAAGCCGTTCAATCATTGCATTGTTAAATAATCAAAGATGACCTCTAAATGTATAAGAGAGCCGGCAGAAAGTTAGTTTTGGTTTCTTCAAGAAAGATGTTAAATAGGAAAGAACCACGTCTATGCCTAAGCGCAAACACGTACTGGATAGACCAGGGTACTCTTACAGAGCGGAACGTTGACGAGATTGAGCAAACAAATATTCAAGAGATGATGTCCTCTAAAAATACTAATAGGCTCAGGCAAAGGCTGTCTTTCACTGGCGCTTTCCCCATATTGTATTAACAGTCAATTGCCCGCCCTTTTCCTCTCAAAATATTTGGGGCCTATAAAATAACTAAATATTTAATTAAATTTGCGGACCCAGACGTATTTTCTCCCTTGAAGTGAAAGCAGCTCAAAAATATGAATTATTTATCGGGCATAGCCCGAATGTTAGGGATAGGATAAGAAGAATTACAAACACGTTCGTAAACCATGTAATACCTAAGACTCTTGGAGTAAATCGTGTTTGCTTACTGCAACCATCATTCTATAATCGCTAGGTTGACGAGTTTGAAGGTCAAATAAAAGGAGCATCTTACATCAGCAATGCTGTAGCCTCGAAGGCTTCTGCATTGGTCAGAAACGTTTGAACAGAAGCATGTGAGGCACATTTCCGTAAACCAGGCAGCATCGTTGAATGTCGGCGGTGAACAGATATTTCCAGCTATAGCACAGAAGGAATGTAGGAAGATGATGTTTGAGTGAAATATGCGCTCAAATTTTGCGATGAGTCGAAATTACAGATTGGCTGCTAAATTATGATGACGACACATGCCAAATTGAATGAAGGCAATTTAGTCTTCGGCAAAGATCGTTTAAGTAATGCACTCATATAGCCCTAGTCGCAGCATTTTGTCCTACGGAAACGGTGGTTATAGGGGGTTTTGGCGGTGGGGTGGGTGGGAATTTGTTTCCCCCGGCCGGTGGGAATAAGGTTTTCCGCATGTAAATTGAAAGTGTGCGCGGTGCTTCTTGTCGTGGACTATACTAATCTAACTCCAGAAGGGTAAGTTGGATCGCAGTTGAAATTTCAGGAATTTCGAGAAACCTGCATTTTGGTAGCCATTTTTTCCGCAATACGTTAAACGTTAATACCGATTAGGAAAATCTACAGATATAAATCATCAACATTTCTAAATACAATAAAATAAAATGCATATAATAGTTAATAACGTATATTTCACTGCCCATCCAATTCCCCATCAATAAGATCCCTATAATCACCGTTTCCGTAGGACAAAATGCTGGAACGATGGGGTGCGTGAGGTGTACTACTTAAACTACTGTTGCCTTATATTCTGTGCATGAATATAGAAAGGTCCATTATCAAACGCTCTTTGTGGTGGCTTATACTCATTGGCTAAAACAACATGAAGCATATGCATCTATTTGTTCCACTATTCACTTTTCTGAAACGGGCCATCAAAATGCAATCACCGATTTCACTCTGAATGCCCCCTAATTGTTAGTTTTGCTGCAATTATCTTTTATACGATCGGTCGTACAACCGTTAGGATGGACTCGCATGATAATTCGGAAATCCGTGGTAATAAAGCTTTTGATTCAGCTATCGTGTCGCCTTCCTCGAAACTATGAACATCTAAGTTACGTCACGATAGCAAGGTCCCCGAAAATTCTGTCACGGGCCGCCGTCCTTGGGAATAATCAGCTATCGCAGGTTTTCGCAAGGTGCATTTTATGGGTTCTAACCTATACAGTTAGTGCGTATGCATTCTGAGACACAATAAGTATAATGCATTTATAAGAAATTCTGAAAAACTAGGTGAGCAGTTTACAATTTGCCGTAGTAGTTCACTTCTCTCGTGTTCTTTTAGTCTCTCTCGTGATAGCACAACGTTTAGCAGCCGATCGATAATCGACCTACAAGCAGATCTTACCTTAAAGGTACTTCCTAAACTTTTCCTAATTAGGGCTGTGCTTACCAGCCCACACTTAACAAGGACTGCACCCCGTTTGAAGTATCCAGTTCCAAGCATTTCTTCAGACAGCTTATTGTACTTTCACCTGTTGTCAGTATGATTTTTGAAATGCTATATTGGTATACTACAGTCAAAAAACTATTATTCTTTAATTCATACTCCTGCTACTACGCCTATTTCGAATTGCTTTCGCTCCTAAGTTTGTTGGCTTGATCGTACTACAGTGTAATATAAGTTAAGCACGGACTACGTTCCCTACCACAGATGCTTATCAGCGTAAAAAAAGCACAACTACAGTTGGACAAATGAATTTTCTATCGAGGATCAACAGTGGGCCTCGTCGAAAATATAACTAGAGAGACTACTATAAGGGCAGATATTTACAAATTCTTACGTTAGCCTGCTAGTAGCATGCTTTTGTCGTATCTTAAGATTTCATTAGCACCAAACCGAAAACATGTCTTACTCGACTACCCTGAAAAGGAGCTTAAGCATCTTCTCAGGCGCAAGACGGTATCCACATGTCGTGCCTTGAAAGGCGCGTCCAAAACTACGTTTGCTTATAAACAAATAGCCCTCGCGGTCTAACTATAAACATTTATGTTGCGTTTTGTGTTTAGCGTCGGTGAACGTTAGTGACTTCTCTGCCTGAAATTAAGTTTCACACACATGAACAAATTCTGCACTGAAACTCACGATTTTGTTCTCAGAGAAATGACGATCGTAGTCCAAAACGAGGTGTCACATATGAATATACTTCTTAGTATTAATGTACCTAGTCCTTCGCGTTCATTAATACGAAGTGTTAAGTAGCAAAGTCGGCACACGGGACATCCGGCAAAAGAATGCGCGGTGTGTTCACTTATAACTTTTTCGAAGAAATAAGCTTATGACAAACGGGCTGAAAGATCACAGGCAGACAGTGATAATCTAAGTGGTGCATTAGAGTAAACAGAAATAAATAAATAAATGAAACTAGGGTTCTGGCGAAAAGGAGGGTTTCTATTCAGTGTTACATTACTTTTGTAAACTTTAGGAGAACGGGAACATAAAGAAGTTCAACAACGGTCCCTCAGGCAAACTGTGCATCTTTGCATGGTTTCAGAAAACACAGGGATTTTCCGTAACTCTCAGGCCGCATTATATCTCGCGAACACTGCAATCCACATCACCACTGTAACACCATTGGCGAACGTTGTTCATAAGGATTGTGAGTGGTATCAGCAAAACCAACGTTTGATGATGTTGGCCCACATCGACGTAGACATTTCTAAACTGTGCCTTTCTTACTAAGATTTTCATCTTTTAGGCATTGAACCTTACCCGGATAATCATAATACTACCTCTTTTTGTTTAAACTTGTACCATATCAATAGGCGGAAGTTCTGTAGTTCAATGAAATGAATAAAGTGGATATATTGTAAGAAATAGCACTTTCAGGCTGGAGAATCACAGCACAACAGTACGTAACAAACCTGTAGCAATGAGTATCAGGAGAGGCGTTTATATTCCAGTCTTGTCGGGTTTTTCAAAAGAAAGGGGGTGCATATTAACGGCTCCAGTAAGCGAGTGTGTATTCGATTTACAGTAATCCATCTTAGATATGATCGAATGTTGTTTCCAAGTCCTCTTTAGGGATTCGGTTGTCACATTTATGGGTTTGTCGCTTTACAGAAAACTTACTAACCAACATAATGCTAGAGAGTTCGATAATGGCACTGTGGCATGGAGGTCATGATTGTTCTATTGTTTAACTTATGAATGAGCCCTTCCCCCGTATTACTTGTGGTTTTGCATTAAATTCGAAGGAGGGGAGGGGTTGGTTTATTCATTCCATCGTCTCAAATTAAACCCTCACTCTAACCCTTCCAACCCCTCCCCTCCATCCAAAAAATTTAGCGCAAAGGCACATAAACTGCGGATAGTATTTATTACCGTGCTTTACCTAGTCTTCAGGTTTATCTCTTTACTACCGCTAATTTATGGTCTGGAAGTTCATTCAAGTGAGGAAGTTGGAAGCACTTTGGCTCGAAAGCCCTGACTCTTTATGATACAGAGGTTTCCTAGTCCTTAATTTCAGTCAGAACGTAAGTTGACGCAAGGTTAACTCAGCTGTTCCTGAACTTATAATAAGAAGAATGAATAGGAGTTACCGATAGGTCCCACGAGTATGATAAAGGCAAAAAGTATGAAACAGGTTAAGCAAATGGACTTACTAGCGATGTTTACTATGTAGTCGGGTGCCAAGGTGATTGCCCTGTTAACACCCTCGCACGTGTACATCCCAGCGGCGCGAGGTTGGATGTTCACGAGGGTGAGCTGACTCACGGTACGTTCGCAGTCCTCCACCCTGTTCTCCAGGTGGTGAGGCACATCACTGCCGATGGGGCCCCAGTTGAAGCGCCAGTTTACCGCAGGTGCTGGCCGGCCGTGTACCACACACTCCAGGGTCAGGTTAGTGCCCTCAATGCCCAACACCTCCTGTGGGCGCGGGGGTCGAATCACGCTGGGCAGGCCTGGTTTGTAGAAAGGGTGAGGAAGAAGTAGCCACTTTTTCAATGAGTATATTCGATAGCTCTATCTACCTATCGGCGGAGACAGGGGAGGAGAAACTAGACACCTATCATTATGCTATTTTGCGAAATATTGTACTCTTTTCGGTTAGGCTATTGACGTTGAAAAACGACTTGATTGCTTGCTTTATCACCAAGTATGCGGGTGCACAATCGATCGTTTCTGGGAGCAACGTAGTTGGCTCCAGATAGTTCGGAGAATTGACATCGGTGGAGGTTCCAAACCTTAGGGATTAAATTGTTATTTATACCTGTTGTGTCTGTGGAGGACAAGCTAACAGACACCCTGCACTGCTAAGACTTACAAAAATACTTTTTTAGTTAATTTATATAAATATATTACATTGCAAATGAAATTATAAGTGATGGGTCGTGTACCTCCTGGGAGTAAAATGTATATGGCCCTTTAAACAGGCCATGAAAAACTTCCGCCCGAACTACAGGCGTGTTTTCTCCGAATGTCAGGGGAAATACTTGAAGGCTTAATGTTAAGGTTAGCGCTAAATATAGAGTTACTTTTATGGTAGGAGTTAAGATTAACATGACGTTGAGTTATGGTTAAGTTTGGGGATTGAGGTTATGTTTAGTTGTAACTGTAAGGTAAGGATAAAGGTTAGTATTAATATTATGTCTATAGTTTAGGTTTATATTAGGGCTAATTTTAAATCAAGGAGAAAAGAATACAAACCCTTCCTGTAAGTAAGCGCAGGGTTACCATTATTACTTGCACAGGGCGTGCTTATTCCCGTGTCCAAGACATTAGACAAATGATTATGCCATCTCCTGAAGATGAGAGTTACTTATTTCCTGGGCTATTAGAAAAACACCTAAGTCTAGTCGATTTGAGGTGCAATTGCGGACCACAGAATACTATGCACTCGCTGTGTAAAATTTGGCATTTCCTGTTGAAACAGTGGTCCGCATCGCGTTCATATTACAGCTCTCGCGTAGATATATCGGACATAGGAAGGCTGAGGACGAGGATTTTTCGGATCTTTTGGAGCTGGGACTGCAGAGCCTTTGTGATGAATGTTACGTAGTCAAGCACAGCCGTCTAACTTTATTTAGTATTCGACTAAATTCAGCTAGGACCCCGTGCAATCTACAGTTAAATGACTTAGGGACCCAGAAATATCGATGCGTGTCTAGTGCATTTTGGCCCTGTTCTGTGAAACCACAAAGTCAAGAAGACCTTTTATTTTGGAGAGAGTAGGCGTATAACTAATCAAGTGTAATGTTGGAGGATCTGCGGTGACTAGCCCAGCAAGAAGTGCACTTGTGAACGCTTGTCGTGATTAGCTCAAATCGAAGTTCATTTTTGGAACGCTCGCTATTTCCGGCCTCTGTAACACTCACACAGGACTTTATGTGATGACCGTCGAACAGACCTCACTTCAGACGCCGTCCGCTGGCTTGCGGTTGTGCAGTTGTGCGGTCGTCTGGTAGTCAATTTCTTACTGCCTATTCTCCCATTCATTCTGTACAGAATATACTCTTCCTAACACTCTGCCTTTCCTAAGACTCATCTCATCTCCTAAAGAACCGGACCTGGAAGATCGCAGCCGTTAGGATTAACCTTCTTAGTCTTAACACACTCGATAAACCCTATATTACACGCTCCTATTGAGTCACCTGCCGCAAAACGAATTCAATTAACTTTGGATGAAACTAACCCGCTCGATTGCCGGGTTTTCTCACGGACATCCGCATGTAACCGCATCATATGTCGAATATTTAACTTGTGTCAGCGTTAGTCAAATATTATAGCATGATTTTAAGTGTATGCCCCTAGGTTTGAAAAAATGTATGTTTATGCAGAATCTGTATGTATAGAAACTGTACGGACGTCAAAAAGGGCTTATCTTAAAGGTCATGTGGAGACGTCAACTAATTCCGTTCGCTCTAGCTGTACAAAATTGTATCAACGTAATTTGAAATTTTAGAAAAAGTTTTTTTGTAATTATTTTTGGTAAGTCAAACTATGTTGCCTCTGACCGGTACGGATATAGTGGACCGCTGGTCCACCTTAGCCATTCAGGCAAGAAGAAATTTGAACTCATTAGCCAATGCACCAAATAGCAGTTAAATGCATGAATTCGGTACGTACTGCAATCCTGCTCGTCTTCGCCATTTGGTTCGCAATCAACTTGTCCGTCGCACATATAGGACTTTGGAATGGGACGATTGGTATCCGGGCAGGTGAAATAGGAACCGTAGCAACCAGTAACGGAAGATAGAGCTGCAGAAAGATATAGGGAATAAGATACTGAACGTCCTGACGCATGTAACAGATAATGTGAAAAGGAACAGTAGAAATAATGAGGACGCAACTATCTTCGTGGTCCTGCCTGTAGACATCGGACCACGTTCTTGACAGTTATCTGGGAAACGATCTAGCAGCAAGAACTGCCCATCTTATTTTCTGCACACTCTATAGTAAAACAACAAAACGTAGTATCCCCCAATTTCGTTCCGTAGAACTAGAAGGCTACAAATATATCATTTTTGGACTTTAAGTGTTGTTCTGAAGCACTGAAAAAGCCATGCCAGTGTTGCTAGGCGTTAGAATGTATTCGTCAAAATATGGCTAATATTCGTCATCATCAAGAACTACAGAATAATAAACCTCTTTAGAATTCATCAGATAAGTGATACCCCATCCGGTTACTCACCTGGGCAATTGGCCTCGTCATATCCGTTTCCACAATCGTCATCCCCATCGCAATGCCAAAATCGAAGGTAGCAGGATTTCGTCGGCTGTTTTCCGTTTAAAGGCAGACACGCGAATTGGTTTGGCTCACATTCACCTTAAATCAAACATAATAACAATGAGCCTCATTTAAATCAGTTCTAGAATACTGGGCGACATTAATAATAATGTTCGTGGTTGAACCCAAAAGCACAAAAGACATAAATACGGAACTGCCGATACAAGGAGGCAGCTCTCCACCCCGATATAAGAGTCACGCGACAGGCACTAAATGAATAACTGCACGAGCGTCAAAGCAATGCTACTAGGGAAACCCTACGGTAATCATTCTGGTGGATTCTAGATGATTGCTTAGGAAATCCTGCTTGGG